TCCGCCTACACGGAACAGGACTTCTCTAATACTGCCTCCGACGAGGAGAAGGAGGAGGGCTCGAATGGAAAAGGGTGGCTCGTGGCGCAGCAGCCGCTGCTGGAGGACTCCATCTCGGACGCTTGTAAAGGGTTGTTGGTGTTCTTGCGACTGCTTATGCCGTCCGTCTCTGTGGAAGGGGATCGAAAGTCCTCTGGATTAGGGGTGTGGCTGTCTGCCGCCCTGACTGGGTTGGACTTCCCCCTCGACCCCGACACCGACCGTCTGGCGCACGAACTCTTTCGCTCCGCGTGTGATCACGTGCGGGTTCTGGGGGAGTGGAAGAAGGTGCAGGGGAACACTCGAGGGGCACTGCTGCTCGCCTTCCCTGAAGTTGGGCCGGAGAATAAAACCTACACGAGCATGGACTGCATCTCGCGGGAGGACGTGCTGGCTCTTTACACGCTGATTGTGGTGCTGGCCAAGTGTTTCCGCCAGAATGTGAACCACCTGATACCGCTGTAGTATCTTCACGACACAGATTTTGGTTTCGTTTCTTTTGGTGGTGTTGTTGTTCTACCGTTTGCTGCACAGATATGAGGGACTGCACAACCACCGCTCTTTCCTCTCCATCTTTTATTCTAGTCCTACCATACCAATAGATTTCAGAATTAGACACCAATAGAGGAGCGAAAATGTTCACCTTGATGTGCTGCGCCGATGTTGATGGCGAAAAGGTGAATCTCGAGATCACACTAGACGATGCGCCACACAGCGTGTCTTTCCTGGAATATAGCGTGGCCCGCGTGTTCACCTTGGAGGCGGGCAGACTGGTGCAGGCGGCCTGTCTCTATATTTACGACGACGCCAACCTGCTTTGGACCAAGCTAGAGAATGTGGGGCAGCTGTGCGAGTACGACCAGCTGTATCTCTTCCAGCCACAGACCACCACACACGCCGACGCACAGCAGGACTTGCCACCACCGCGCCCCCCTCGTCACAGTAGAGCCGCCGCCGCGGTAGAGGAGAATATGCGCCGCCGGCTGTCCTCGTCTACTGCTCCCCCGTTAGCAGTGGAGGATGGGCCCAGAGCCCTTACCGCCCCTGGTGCCCCGTCGCAGGTGCCACGCCGCGACAGCAACGTCGCCTCTCATCGTACGTCCGACTCCAAAGTGGATTTAGTGGCGCGTCTCGAGCGACTGAAGCGAGAGAAGGAAATGATACTAGCGCAAAAGGGTCCATCCTAACCTAGAGTGATACACACACACTCACACACATACGTTGCACTACACAACGTTCCGCTAACAATAGATCCACTGTCTTTTTTATCTCTTTTCAATCGTGTCTATAGAAGTGGTGTTCAAAAATACACTCTCCAGAATCGTGGATGAGTTTTATCATACGACCACCGTTTTCTCTCCCCCCCTTTTTCTCTATGGTAGACCACATGCTGAAGTTGTCTAGAAGAGCGTTGACCGTCGCGGCGCGGAGTATGTGCGGCGTCCACAGACTACCGATTCACAGGCTACAAGGCGCCATCCTTTCGGCTAGCACACCACTGTACACCACCTACACGTCTCGCCGTCTGTGTTCCTCTGGTGTGACCGGGAGCGATAGGACGAGCGCGGAGTTTATCGTTAGTCGCTGCAAGTGGCAGTCCGGCAACCTGCTGGAGCGGTTGGGTATGTCGAACGACGAGGCGATCGATGAGGCCAAGGTGCGCCATCACTTTCAGGTGCTTAGTAAACACTTTCACCCCGACTTGCCTGATGCCCCCGAAAACGCCGCGGAGGCTTTCCGGAATATTCGAGAGGCGTACGTGCAGGTGCTGGAGCAGGTGAAGCGGCATGGCCCCTACGCCGCCGGAGAGGCACCGCACTTTGTGTTCATGGACCAGGCGCAGCGAAGCGCCAAAGTGGCGGCGATGGGAGAGGGCGTCATTTTTTTCGTCCTGCTCCTTCTGGTGTACGCTTTCCTAGTCGCCCGTCACAATCGGAAGCGGGTGAGAGCCAGCCTTTTAGCGTATCTCCTGGCCATCTTTGTCGTCGTCCAAATCTTCCCACGAGTCCTCTCCGCGGTGGTGCTCTTTGCGTGGATGTCTGATATTAGGGTCACGAGTAAGGAGCTAGAGGAACAGGCGGCGCTGACGATTCTGGTCGAGAAGAGCGGCGAGAATATGATCGTCAAGTTGGCGGGTATCGCAGAAGAGGATCAACCCGATGTGAAGGTTTCCGTGAAGGTGACCCGCACCGAGAAGGCGAAGGGAGGGGATGACAACAAGGCTGCTGCTGCGGAGAAGGAATCGACAGAGGTTCTGGAGATGGATCAGGGAGTCACCAAGTTCCACCTGCCGTCCCGGTTGGTGAACAAGAGCGGCCCCGAGATTCGGTACAACATTCGCGTCGAGAATACGCGAAAGCATTTCACACTTTGTGACAAGGTACTTGCCACGGACTTTTAATATTAAGATGCAATTCTTTATTATACTTGTTGTGTGTCGGTCTGTTGGTTTGTCGGAGTTTGTTTGACTGTGATTTCTTTGCGGCACCACTCTCCTCTCTCTCTCTCTCTCTCAGTATTCTGTTTTTATTCAACACCCAAGCCAAAACACACTATTATGTCTTCCACGGCGCTGCCGGCTGCTCAGCGGCAACGGTTTGACAAGATGAGTCAGCACTTTGACAACCGCGAGTACGCCAAGGCGCTGCGCATTGGGGAGGAAATCCTGAGTGTGGCGCCCGATCACGCCGATACGGTGGCGATGACAGGGCTGACCATGTACCACCTGAGTCGCAAGGAGGAGGCCTACGAGTACATTAAGCGGGCGATCAAGCTGGACATGAAGAGCACTATTGCGTGGCACTCGCTCGGCATGTGCCAGCGGTCGGACCAGGACTACCGCGCCGCGCTCAAGGCGTTCCGCGTGGCCTCTCAGACCGCCCCTGATAACACGAACGTACTCCGCGATATAGGCACGGCGTGCATTCAGCTGCGCGACTGGGACGCTTTCCTGGAAGCCCGCGAGAAGCTCGTGACGCTCAAGGCCACCGTGCGCGCCAACTGGGTTGCCCTGTCCTGCGCCCACCGCATGCTCAAAAACTACAAGCTGGCGGCTGCGGTGATGGATGTGATGACGTCCATCATGGACGTTGGGGAGAACCCGGTGGAGATTAGTGAGATTCAGCTGTACCGCGTGGAGCTGGCGCTCGAGGGCGAGGCACCACAGCAGGCGCTGGAGCTGCTCAAGAAGCACGACGACGAGATCAAGGACACGTACACGAAGCTGATGTGCCGTGCGAAGGCGCACGCCCTGCTGGGTCAAAAGCAGGAAGCGGAGAAGCGGTATGCGGAGCTGATGAACCTCGGCTTCGCGGAAGGGGAGTGCCTCGCGGCGATAGCGCACCTGCACAAGATCCCCCTCGACGACCTCCGCCGACCCAAGCAGCAGGTGGAGAAGTACGTGGAGATTGTAGAGAACTTATCGAAAGAGAAGCCGTCCAAGTACCTGGAGCGCCACCTGCTCGACTGCTGTCCGTTAGACCAATTCAAGGGACGACTCCTCGCCTACGTGCTGCCCTACATTAAAAAGATGATCCCGTCGCTCTTCAGTGTGCTCAAGTCGCTCTACACCGACAAGGCGCGCGCCGATCTCGTCGGAGAGGTCTTCAACCAGCTGCGGGAGGAGTTGGAGAGCGGCGACTACACGACTAGCTTTGGCGGCGAGAAGTCGCCGTGCTACGTGCTGTGGGTGTACGCCTACCTGGCCTCGCACTACCGCCGTGTGGGGGACGCCGCCACCGCGCACCAGTACGTGGACAAGGCGATTGCCCACACCCCGACTTTAGAAATGCTCTACGTGGAGCGGGCGAAGATTTTCCAGTCCGAGGGGAAAACCGCGGAGGCGGCAGAGGCGGCCGACTTTGCGCGCAAGTTGGACTTGCAGGACAAGTACCTGAACACCGTCGCCGCCCGCTTCTACTTCCGCAACAATGACATTGAGCGCGGCGAGGAGGTGATGCAGCTGTTTTACAAGGAGCCCACCGTGAAGGGGGACACGTTCCTGATCGCCCTCGAGTCCCAGTGTAGTTGGTACGCGAAGGAGGTGGGTGAGGCCTTCTACCGCAAGGGCGACTACGTCTCGGCGCTGCAGAACCTTCTCATGTTCGACCTCCACCACAAGCAGAACCTCTGCGAGCTGAACGACTTTCACAGCTATGTCTTCCGCCGCAACACGATGCGGGCGTGGTTCGACGTGATTCACAACATGGACCACGTGGAGGAGAACAAGTTCTTCCTCTCCTTCTGCCCGGGGTTGGTGCGCACGTACATCAAGGTGCACCAAGTCGGCGAGGAGGCCGCCCGCGCCGCGCACACCCCGCGCCCGGAGCTGTCGCTGGAAGGGTTGAACGCCGAGGACACGAAGCGCATCACCGGCCTGCTGGACGAGTTCTACATGAAGGATGTGGATCTCTCCGAGCCGCTGCAGAAGGCGGCCCGCTACATGAACAGCCTTCTCCAGCACCGCGCAGGGGACGTCGAGACGCACCGGTTGGCGGTTGAATTCTACACGGTCCGCGAGAAGCCGCTCCTAGTCGCCCGCGCCCTCCACACGTTGAAGCGCCTCAAGTATGCCGACGTGGATGCGCTGGTCAAGGAGTTTCAGTCCGGCCTACTCGCCAAGCAGTCCTCTGCGATGGACAAGCGGGTCAAGGAGGTCGTGGAGGAGCTGTTGAGTCGTTAAGGCGTGATTAAGTTTCATAAGATATCATTTAATAAATAAAACAACAAGTGTGGTGCATTATCCGGTGTGTGTGTGTATGTGTGGTTGTTTTCTTTCTCTGCGCCGTGTTTTTGTCTGTAGATTCTGTTCTCTCTTCTTTTTCGTTCAGTTTAAGGAAAAGGCAGGAAAAAAAAAATTGGTTTGCTCCTCCGCTTAACAGGAGTTGGGTGCACGACCCTTCCTCCCCCTCTTCTATTCGTATGAACTCTCCAGGTAAAATACGAGTTTTCGACGGTTTAGTGGCTGCTTAGCTCAATGGCAGAGCGCCGTCCTAGTAAGACGGAGGTCACGAGTTCGATCCTCGTAGCGGCCTAGTTTTTTCCCTAAGGGCCGTTCCATAGACCGTCCGGTTAGGGGGGACCCTATGGTTGGTGGCGCAGGGCATACGTTCTTCCTTAGGGGGGCTAAGAGGGAAAAGAGGGGAGAGAAGTTTTTTTTTTTTGTTTTGTTTTCCGTCTGCCTATTTTTATTCTTCCTCCCCAAAAACATAGCCACACTGAAACCTGCTGAATTGAATTCAGTTTTGATGTATGCGATATGGGAATTGAAAATGAATATATATTGAAAGAGAAAACAAACCATAATCATAAAAAAGAAAAAAATTATCCATACACTCGTTTTGTGCTAAAGCTTGCAGTCTTTGGCGGAGATTCACTTTTGCTGCTCCGCGACGAGCTTCTCCAGGATGGCAATGGTGTCCTTGTAGGTCTTGACGGAGTGGCCGATGGTGCGCTTGTCTTCGTAGATCTCGTAGTCGTTGCCACCGGGGTTCGTCTTGTCCCCAAAGAAGTGGATTTCCTTGAAGTCATTCTCGACAAACTGCAGGCAGTACGTCTTGTCCCAGCCGGTGGGGAACACGTCGAAGCTGATTTGGCCGCCAATGGAGTAGGTGAAGGGGTAGTCGGGGAAGGCGGCCTTCAGCTTCTCAATGACGCCGGCGCGGACCTGGTGCTCCTTGTCGAACACCTCAAAGTCGTCGCGCTCCTCCTGGGAGCAGTTACGGCCGATGGGGGACACGTTCAGCATACCGTTGCGGAACTCGACAAAGGTACCACGCTGCACGGGGATCTCCAGGTCGGCGATGATGTGGAGCGTCTTCTTGATGAAGGCGACGAGCTTCTCGTTGCCCATAAACTCGAGGATGCTCATCTTGTGGAACTCCTTACCCTCCTTGAAGGAGAGAAGACCGTTCTCGGAAAAGACAAAGTCAAAGTCCTCTAGGATAGAGTCCCCGAGCTGCTCCTTCTGCTTGCTGTAGTCCGACCCACCGACGATGCCGATGGTGAAGCCGACCTCGCGCGCCTTCTTGAGGATCGCCTTCATGTCGTCGGTTTCCTTCAGACGGGGCGGGGTGAGGGTGCCGTCCACGTCGAACAGTAAGATGGAGCCAGACATATTTGAAAGAAGTTTAAAAAGCAAAAATAATGACTGAGGGGAGGAAGGGAAAGGAGAATCCATGAAGGAGGGTTGGCTGCAATACCATAATAATCATAATAATAACCACAACAGACAAGAAAGAAACACAATCCAATTGATAGGTCATACCCAGTATGACACACACACACACACGCACAGATAGATAAGTAACAGAACACATCAGCTTTCAAAGAGATAGTGACGCACATTGGCGGCGTAGAAGGGAATGTTGGCTACCTCGCGAGCCACACTGCCGTCGGCGGTCCCCAGTAAGGTGAGCAGCGGCATCAGGTGCTCCTGTGCGTTGATGGGGTGCGCCTCCGAGAAACCGTCTAGCTCGCTCACCCGGCTCATCTTGGACAGCCGCTCCTCTGGCGACAGGTGCGGGTTGGCAATAATATCGGTGAGGGCATTGTTAAACGTCGTCCCCGCCCCTTTCGTGCCGTCCCACAGGTGGTCAAAGTGGTGCATGGAGGAGCCGCTGCCAATGAAAAAGACACCCTCCTCCCGGAACTGGCGCAGCGCCTGGCCCATCTTGATGTGCTCCCCCGCATTGTCGCCCCGCAGCACCGAGATGGGGACGACAGGGATCGTCTCCTCCTCGAACATGACCATCAGCGGCACGAACACCCCATGATCGTAGCGCCGGTCGGGATTCACAGACGCGAGGAGGCCGCGCTCCTTCATGGACGACACCATCCGCTCCGCCAGCGACGGCGCGCCGGGGGCGGCGTACACGAGGGAGTAGGACTCCTTTGGGAAACCGCCATAGTCGTAGAACATGGTAGGCCGTGCCGCCCCGCCCACCTCCGGGAGTCTGGTGTTGTAGTGCGCCGAGACCACCGCGATCGCTTTCGGCGGACCATGCTTCGACACAATCGCCCGCACGTGCTCGCGCCACTTGTCCACCATGTGTTTGTGGTCGCGGTCGCCCAGCACCGGGAGGGGACCGCCGCCGTGGCAAATATACAGTGCGGGATAGAGATTTGAGTTCGTCTCGTGGGAGAGGGGCGTCACCGGTCCGTCGGGCACCCCGGACGCACTGCGCTGGCGGTAGACCATGTGCGCCAGGAAGAGCACCACCACGGCAAACAGTATTTTTAGAACAACATTCATCTGGACTAGACGAGAGGGACGGGGAGGGAGGAAAGCAGATTTTTTTTTTTGTTGTTGTTGTTCTGAAAGAACGTAAAACAAAGCAACACCGGCGATAATACTAATTGGAAACCTTTGCGGAATTCGGTTGGATAATGTAACAAGGAGAGTAAAAGTAAAAGAAAACCAATGATAATAATAATGTCGGGGGAAAAAAAAAAACAATTTTTTGAAAGCCGGCTTACAAGTTGGAAATCTGGAAGTTCTTGTACTTATTCTTGGCACGAATGAGTTCTAAAAAGTTCCTTTTGATTTCATAGTAAACGTACTTCATGGGGGGATTGCCGTCCACTTCTAAGATAATGTTTCGATAAAAACTGACGAGGGCGTTTTTCTGCTCATAGTAGATTTCCATCCGACGGTTGTGCTTCGCGCGGGTGTCGTCGGAGCGGATTTGAAGCCGGTCGACCACCTCCGGCGGCGGTGGGTTACTGAGCAAGTTGTACACTTTACCCGTCACAGGGTCCAATCGACGACTGAGGCAGCGACGGAGTAGTTTTTCACCGTCGACGTCGAGGACCACCATGACATCGAAAATGTACCCGCGACGGTGGATCTCCTGCGCCTGTTGTAGGGTTCTAGGGAACCCATCCAGCAGGGCCCCCCGCTCCTTCACCACCGGGCTCTCTAACACCTTGCAGACCAAGTCAATCACGATCGAGTCCGGTATGAGATTGCCTTCCGCGATAATGGCCGCGCACTGACGGCCGACGGCGGTGTGCCGCTCCACCTCCGCCCGCAGCAGGTCACCAGCGCTGATGTGATGCAGCCCAAAGTCCCGAATGAGCTTCTCACTCACCGTCCCTTTACCGGAGCCAGGAGGGCCAAAGAGAATCACGTTGAGAGGCATTTACGCTTTTTTTTTTTTTTGTGAAAGTATTGTTCGTTAGTCTTTTTTGTTAGTTTAAGCAAAAGTATTCATACTACAATAAAAAACAGTGACAAGTAGAGAGAAGTGTGTGAGTAAGAATGCGAGAATATACACCGATAGGGTTGACACAGGCCGGTGGCAAATCATCGACATATTTTGTCTTTTTTTCATTATCAGCGCACAGTTCCTAATATACATTACAGTACTAAAGTAGCATCTTCTATTAAGTGCGTTTCCTGTAAGTAGGTTTATTCTTTTTTCTTGGGTTTTCTTTTTTATATAAATAGTTTTTTTTTTTTTTTCTTAATGGCTCGCCTGTTTTGAAGCCGGTAATAAAGAAACATGTTTCATGTTCATACCACCACAAAAATAAAGGGAGATGGGTGAAAAGAAACAAAAAAAGAGGTGCGTGATACGGCCGTCCTTTAGGCGTAGAGGTCATCGTCGTCGTTGTTGGCGCCGCCTCCACCGGCATTGTTGTTATCACCGAGAGGTCGTCCCTCTCCCACCGTTCCGCCCATCGGCTCATTGCCAAAGGCGCTCTTCTGCTGGAGAGTGGTCTTGAACATTTCGTAACGGCGAATGTCCGCGTCACTCACGGAGCGGTGGGCACCGCGCATGGCCTCCTCGAAGTGGGCACGGGTGATAAAAGGGACCGTCTCGACCGCGGCGTCGTCCTCGATGCCACCTTCGGCACGGCGCTTCTCGATTTGGATCTCTTCCTGGATCGACTGACGAATTGCCAACTTGCAGGCACGCTGGCAGATACCAGCGAGATCGGCACCGGAGAAGCCGTGGGTGGCGGCGGCCATCTGCTCGAGGTCCACGTCAGGGGCGGTGGGGGAGTTGCGGAGGGTGGCCTGGAGGATGAGGCGACGGGACGCCTTATCGGGGAGGGGAATGTAGATGAGCTGATCCAGACGACCAGGACGCATAATGGCGGGGTCGAGCACATCGGGGCGGTTGGTGGCGCCGATAATAAAGACATTCTTCTTGGCGTTCATACCGTCCATCTCGGTCAGAATTTGGTTGATCACACGGTCACTAGCACCGCCGTCGTTACCGGTACCACGGGACTTGGCGACAGAGTCCAGCTCATCAAAGAAGAGCACGCAAGGGGCGGCGGTACGGGCCTTGTCAAAGACGTCGCGAACGTTCGCCTCGGACTCACCGAACCACATGGTCAACAGCTCCGGACCCTTGATGGAGATGAAGTTGGCCTGGCACTCCGTCGCAATCGCCTTAGCCAACAGCGTCTTACCGCAACCAGGGGGACCGTAGAAGAGAACACCCTTTGGTGGGGAGATACCATACTTCTCGAACTTCCACGGGTACTCGACCGGGTACTGCACCAGCTCCTTGAGCTCGTTGACCACATCCGGCAGACCACCAATGTCGTCCCAAGTAACGTTGGGCGTCTCGACGTGCGTCTCGCGAAGGGAGGAGGGGTTGGTCTTGCTCAGGGCCTCGGTGAAGTGGTCCTGCGACACCAAAAGGGAGTTCAACAGCTCTGCATCGAGCGTCTCGTCATCCCAGTCCACGACAGACATCTTTTCACGGATGCAAATCATGGCAGCCTCGGTACACAGCTGGGCAAGATCGGCACCAACGAAACCATGCGTATCCTTGGCGAGCTTCTCCACATTCACCTCGGGGTCAATCTTCATGTTCTTGGTGTGAATGCGGATAATCTCCAGACGGCCGATTTCATCCGGGGACACCAATGTCGAGCTCTCGGTCAAACCGACCAAAGCGGCGCAGGGCGGGGTCGATCGTGTTGGGGCGGTTGGTGGCAGCCATCACGATCACCTGCGTGCGGGCCTTCATACCGTCCATGAGGGTGAGCAGCTGCGCCACAATACGGCGCTCCA